CGTCTCCTCTTTCCTGCTCTCTACCAATGTTCTGTTGTCTCCTTTCACCTTCTTTCCTGCTCTCTACCAATGTTCTGTTGTCTGCTTTCGTCTCCTCTTTCCTGCTCTCTACCAATGTTCTGTTGTCTGCTTTCACCTCCTTTCCTGCTCTCTACCAATGTTCTGTCGTCTGCTTTCGTCTCCTCTTTCCGCCACCATCCCTTCACCTCCTTTGCCCCCTCCTCTGGGCTCCGACTCTTTCTGCAGCCTTTCTACTGTTTCTCCTTGGCTCCTTCTTACTGCTGACTTTCAGCCACACTCCCTGATCTTCTCGTTGGAAAGATCTACACCTAGCTTTCTCGGACAAGGGCGAAAAATCTTGGAGGGCCTGTGCGCAAGTTGCGCACGTTAAAGATTCCTCAGAGGGCTGAAATCGATATAGAGTAGGCTTCAGCCGCCACCCGGGCAAAATTCAAAATTTCGTACCCACTGAAAAATTTTAATGTGTCCCGCGCGCTCATATGACCTTAAGCAGTTGCAAGCGCCGTAAAACACTCATCAAAAAAAAAAAATGTAGTCCTACAGTGAGATTCAGTATACATTAAATCTTTATTGATTGAATACGATTTTGTAAAAAATTCCAGCTTCTCTTTGTTTAGGTGATCTTAAATTTGATAGACTTTTGTACATTCTTTGTGTTGCCATTTACTTCAAACCTTAAATCTTTTTTTTATTTGAAACTGAGGAAGATGGCAAATTTTCCCATAAAAGCAGTATACAGTGGAATCCCAAAAAAACTTATTTTCCCAAACATTTCAAACCTAACTGAAAAATATCAAATGATGGGTTCAAGTCAAAACAGGGGGGGGTAACCTTTTGTAACCCCCCAGACTTCTTTTTACCTCAGGGGGGCACGCACCTTTGAAATCCCGATTGTCCCAAAGCGTGAAAATTACTATGCAATTAGACTTAGTGTGATATAGTTTGATTAAAAACCATATCAAATATTTCTAAAAACTATCAATTTGTGGCGAAAATGAAGTCAATAGGCTATTAATGTTCAGCGCATCAATATTAATAGAAGCTGGACACCTATAGCAGTAGAAGTGGGAGACGGAAGGGGAACAAAGAATAGGACCACTGTATCCGTACTGCGCATGTCGTAGAAGGCGACTAAGGTCGGTTGGGCAAAGAGTTAGCAGTCCTTTCCCGTAAAACAAAATACAGCTACAAAAACATCAACAGCAAAAACAACACGACCGCCAGTTCTGGAAGATGGAGGACCTTCATCACCAAGAAAAAAGAGAAAATGGAGAGTAGAATAACGCAGGGTGGTGAAAGCTGTTACTGTTTATAATAATCTACATGGAGAAAAATACAACAGAAGCAAACCCCAACCTGATAGACCTGAATGAGATGCTGTTTGCAGACGATCAAAGCCTGGCACATGAGAAAGAAGAGCAGCTTCAAGAGCTCACAGACAGGCTGAATACACAAACTTGTTCGTGTTTCAAGCAAGTAATTTCTTTATTTGGTAAGATCATCAACTACAACAATACAAAACTTTGGTAAACAAGAAAACTGCATATTTCAGTTAGTTTTACAATGTGAAAAGCTCAACATGAAGATCAGTAAAAGAAAAACAGAGACGATAAAAGTCAGCAGAACACCTGGCAACCTTAACATCACCATCAACGAAAATCCGCTGAAACAACTCAGTGAGTTCGAGTATCTTGGTAGCATCTTTTCGGAAGACGGACGTCTCAACAGAGAAATTTAGACGAGAATACAAAAAGCTAACACCGTCAGCTTCCAGCTTGCCCCACTCCTCAAACATCCTAACATCCCCACTGAGACCAAAGCCAAGCTCATTAACTCTATCTTCATCCCCACCTTGATCTACCAGTGCCAGACATGGACCCCGACCAAAAGTCTGGAACATAAGATAACCACCTGCGAGATGAGATGTCTAAGGAGAGCCTTCAACAAAACCAGACAGGAATTGGTCAGAGACAACAAGATCAGAGAAATGATGGGAACAACACCTGTCCTCCACTACATCCCAAGGCAAACAATCAGGTGGTACGGACATTTCAAACAAGTCAGGGCGTAGACGTAGCTTCCGACGGAAGGGAAAGTAAAAGTAATACTCTCAATTGTTTATAATCCTGTAAAACGTAGGGCCCTCAACTGAAAGTAAGAAGTCATAACTAAAATTACATATTTAGATCTATACAATGACTAGATTCTAGTTATACATTACATTAAAGGCTATAGACCTAGAGGATGCTTACACAACCAAGTTGATTACGGCAAGCTCATGGATCTCCTGATGGAAAAGGATGTTGACCCCTGGTTGATACAACGGATCTCCGAGGCTCTGTTTGAGAGGAAGGTGGCGCTGAGAAGTGGGCGATGGATGTCAGACCCAGTAGTGATTGCCTCAGGACTGCCACAAGGATCAGCATTATTTATCACCGGTTCTGTTCAACATAAAATATACATCCAAAAGAGCCAGGATCGGTGTCAGTGGAGCAGGAAGAATCCTAACATTGCAGATGATGTGATGGTCTATCGACAAGGTCGTGATTGGGTAGCGGTTGGACGGATGCTACAGGACAGGCTGAGCAAGGTCGCAGATTGGAGTGAGGAATGCAATGCGGTCATCAGTCCAGACAAAGCACAGGTCATCTGGTGCTCACTCAACAACCGTGTTGTGAAAGATCCTACCCCTCCAATTGTGTTTGACCACTTTCTCATAGACAGACAGCATGAGCTGAAGTACCTGGGAATCACTCTGGACATGACACTTTCTTTCCGAGGACATATTGACAATGACAATGTTGCTGTCAGGGCTCAGAAGGGCATCAATATAATATAAAGACCTTGGCTTCAGCGGGAATTCAACAGAGAGTTCTTATTTCTCCTAATGCAGCTGGTGGTTCTGTCAGTCATAGACTATGGGCTGGGCATCCTCTCCCTGTCCAAGACTCAGATAGACAGGTTGGAGAGAGTACAGAATGCAGCTATGAGGGCCGTTCTGGGTTGCAAAGGACACCCATGTTGTCTGTATGAGATACATGATCCTCGACCTGGCCAGCATCAGAGTGAGGCATAAGGTGGCACAGGCAAAGCTGTACTTGAATGTTTTGGGAGACCCGAGGCACCCTTTGCATGACAACCTAAGCAGCATCAAAGGAAACAGAATCAAACGGGGCAGCTCATGGACGGCAGAAGCCTAAGACTCCTTGAGTCTTGAGGAAAGTTTGTGGCATCAATGAAATATGCTGCGGAAAGGAATGGTTTGAACTGAGCCCCGATTGCAGAAGCCTGGCCAACGTTCACATCACTATGGTTCGTGAAAGACGGGAATGTGCTGCTGTCATTAACGACAATGACATACGACAGTTAATTGAGGAGCATTCAAAGCCAGAGGACCCAGTGATCTATACCGATGGACCGGTCAGGAGGGGTGAGAGAAGTGGATGGGGTTTTGTGGTGTATAGTGAGAACAAAATCTACTTAAATCAACAAAAGCGTGTGGGTTTCGAACGTAAAAAGATATAAAGAGATAGATCTAGTCTAGATCTAGATCTAGATCTAGATTCTAGATCTAGAAATCTAGATATAGAAAATACAAATGACGGGCAAACGTTTTTGTTTTATGGTCAAGACGCCCAAGACCTAGAAATCTAGATCTAGATCTAGATTCTAGATCTAGATTCTAGATATAGATCTAGATCTAGATCTAGATCTAGAATCTAGATCTAGATTTAGATCTAGATTATATAATATCTAGATCTAGATCTAGATCTAGATCTAATCTAGATCTAGATCTGGATTCTAAATCAATTCCTTCCTCACTTCTTCGATTACTTCGCCTTCCACTCATCAGTTTATCGCGAATAAACAGCTTGGCACTGCCATTTCATTAGCCTAGGCTAGTTTCTAGTAAGCTAAGGCTTATTAAATATAAGTTATTTTAGTTCTAATCTAGGCTAGCCTCACCTCCCCGTTGAAATACCCTCTTTTCTTTGACAGAATTCGGTGAGCTTGGAACTCTGGGTACTGGGTACCAAAAGGTAAACAAACGGTTAGCCAGGCGAGCCAGAGGGAAGGCCACAGAGCTGACCAGACCCAGGTCAACGACCTCAAAACTTAATCGTCGGAAAATGAAAGTAGGCTTGACGGGGGCGAAATGGGAACTTTTCACAATTGGAGATTCGGAATCCGAGTGTGGCTAAAGTAAGAATTTGCACTTTACCGGAATACCTGTTGTCCGGCTTACGAAACGTAGGGCCTGGCCACAGAATGTTTAGAGGTTTAGAGGGCCTAGCCTAACCCGCCCAAATCTCTCTCTCTCTCTCTCTCTCTCTCTCTCTCTCTCTCTCTCTCTCTCTCTCTCTCTCTCTCTCTCTCTTTGAGATTTCCCTTTTAACTAGGCTTTTTACTTTTAATTGCTCTTCGCTTCTTTACTTTCTTCCCTGTCTAAGCTGATCCCACTTTTTTTCGTGTGTCTCTTTCTCTAAAACTAAAAGGCTTAATTATGTGTGTTCGTTTTGAATGTGTGTGTAACGTGTATTTTGTGTGTGTGTGTGTGTGTGCGTGTGTGTGTGTGTGTGTGTGTGTGTGTGTGAGAGAGA